ACTGTATTACATGTTAACAACAAAAGCAAATGCCCTATGGGCTTACAGCTTTCCAAGTCAACACCTGGTTACACAAAAGAAGAGTACTAACTCTATACAAAATAGCCCTTGGCTTGATATACATGTAATACAAAGAAAATAAACAACAAAAAGAGTCTTCAACTCTCATCATCATCCAAGCTATGTCCTTGGAGGTGGCATACCACCTGTACCTGAAAATAATGTCCCATAAAAGGTGAGCCAACGCCTAGTAGAGATATGCTAAATACAGTATGAGCAATAACTAAGACATTAGCAATGGATAAATGTTCAATTTCCATAAATCAATTCATAACCCATTTCCATTTCATGACCACTATGTTCATGTTTCATTTCAATTTCCATTTCTTATCCATTTCACAATTTACATCAACGGCTCAGAACCTGGCCAACCACTTATATGAGACAGTGGCTCATATTAAACATTCCCATTTTTACAATAGATAAACATACTAGTTGTATCAACATCTCAACAGATAAGCATAAAAGCTGTATCCACATTTCAACAGATATGCATATTAGCTATATCAACACTTCCAAAGATAAGCATATGAGCTGTATCAACACTTCCAAAGATAAGCATATGAGTTGTATCAACATTTCCAAAGATAAGCATATGAGCTATATCAACACATTATCTGACAAGCATATGAGCTGTATCAGTGGAGTCCATCCCCTATCTCCTCCCAAACAACATCCGGTTTAGACGTCCATCCCCTATATGCCCCTAAACCGTGGAGTACATCCCCTATCTTCTCCCACACACACAACGTATATACACAAAGGTCATATACACAATCAATCAATACATAACGTTAATGTATTCTACCAACCGTCATACTCTATGACATATCCAATTGATTAGTTTTAGTTTGCCTAATCATCATGCATTGTCTACAACAATCAAAACTACCCTCCACCAGTAGCCCAAGCAATTATTTATAAATAGATAATAAAAGCTCCAACAGATAAAATATCAATGTTTTCACAAGTGAGCGATTAATAAATCTAACTCCACTATTCTACCATAAAATGAACCAATTTCATTATTTCCAATAATCATACCAATTAATTTATACCACCAATTAGGGTTTTCTACTCCATTTCCCACTATTGACCCAATGGCCTATATATCAACAACCAACATCAACAACACCATTTTGAAACCCAAAATACATCTTATGAGCCCAAATTCACAAAACCCTCTTTAACACATTTTGAAATCCTAAGTCCCAAAATCAACCATTTAAACAATAAGCTCAAAATCTAGGTTAAAACCCATAAGAGTGAGTAGGAATCCCTACCTCAAATTCGGAACTCAAGGAAAGAAGGTGAAGAAACTCAACGTGCTCCAAAACTCAATATTCTCGGATCAATGGATAGCCCTCGACGATCAACCCAACTTTTACAAAGGCCGGAGGAAAGGGAAACACTCAAACTAGATCAAACTCTAGAGAGAATGGAGTTTCTAGAGAGAGGAACTCTCAAAATGGCTTTTTATCCGCCAGGCCCTGTACTCTGTTTTACTGTATTACTGTTCAGTAGGCCTTCGGTAATCTCGGATTACTGGCCGGTTACGGTGCTAAACCCATAGGGTCGGGTTTGGGTCGTGACAGCTGAATTGGAGCGCATACACTTTTTCTTAGAAGATGCAGAATCAAGAGCAGAAACAGGAGATAAAGGTGTGAAAATATGGGTGAAACAAGTAAGGCAAGTTGCTTATCAGATACAAGACGTTATTGATAAAAACATTCTCTTGGTCTTGCCAAAACAACCTGGACTATTTGGTTCCTTGCATAAAGTGACTCGAACGATCACTAAGCTAAAGCCACAACATCAGATAGCTTCTCAGATCCAAGACATCAAGAATATAATCCGTGAGATCAAGGAAGGAGATGATCGATATGCATTCAGTACTAGTAGTTCCACTGAACATACCAGCACCAGCACTAGCACCAAGGACAACATGTGGCGTGACCCTCGACTGGCTTCCCTTTTCATAGGGGATGACGAAGTCGTTCGCATTGAATCTCCCAAATCTGAGTTGATAAGCAGATTGGTTGACAAAAATCAATCACAACGAGCAATGATCTCATTGGTTGGCATGGGTGGAATTGGCAAGACCACTCTTGCCAAGAAAGTTTATGATAGCCAAGAAATGGCTGCACACTTCAATTACAAGGCGTGGATCATCGTCTCTCAATCATACAGGCCAGAGGAGCTCCTTAAAACAATGATAGAGCAGCTATCAGGAAAAGATGTTCTACCTTTACCTGATGAGGGAATTGATTCACTCATTGCCAAGGCAAGAGGATATTCATACGAAAAGAAATACGTCATTGTGTTTGATGATGTATGGCAAATTGACTTTTGGGGATCCATAAGACATGCTTTACCCCAAAATAGAAAAGGCAGTAGGGTAATCATCACCACACGCAGTGAACAGGTTGCTGGATTTTGCAAAGAATCATCAGTGGATCATGTCCACGAGCTTCAAGCCTTGTCAGAAGAGAAGGCTTGGGAACTCTTTTGCATGAAAGCCTTCCAATTGGACTTTGGGGGTCATTGTCCCTTTGAGTTGGAGGAAATATCACATGAAATTGTTAAGAAATGTGAAGGATGGCCTCTTGCAATTGTGGCTATAGGTGGTCTCTTGTCCACCAAAAACAAGGTTGTATTCGAATGGCAAAAATTTTATGATAGCATGGGCACTGAGTTAGAAAGGAATCCTAAACTTACAAGCATCAGAAAAATTTTGTTGTCAAGTTATAATGATCTGCCTCAATACCTCAAATCTTGTTTCTTGTACTTTGGCATAATGCCAGAAGACTACTCTATCGAAGGTGAGAGACTAATTTGGCTATGGATAGCTAAGGGCTTTGTTGAAGAGCAGAAAGGAAAAACGTTGGAAGAAGTTTCAGAAGAATACTTGATTGAGCTGATCCATAGACGCTTAGTTCAAGTGTCAAGGACAAAATCTGATGGAAGAGTTGGAGAGTGTCGAGTACATGATGTAGTGCGTGAGATTATTATTTCGATGTCTGAAGAGTTTAGTTTTTGTCAAATTTTGGAAGAAGAGAATTCAAGTTTCAATGACACAACTCGCCGGCTATCTGTGCATACACATTATTGCAACATGGATAAGGTTATGGAAAGCATTGGTAAATCCCCAGTTCGCTCTATTTTTCTTTTTCAAAGGGGAGTGCTACCAAAGAAAACCTTATCGGGTACAGTAGCTGCAAATTTCAAGCTTTTGAAAGTACTGGATCTTGAGGATGCTCCTTTGGATGAGCTTCATGAAGAAGTGGGAAATCTATTTCTTTTGAGATACCTAAGCATAAGGAATACAAAAGTGAAGATAATTCTAAAGTCCATAGGTAAGTTACACAACCTACAGACTTTGGATCTGAAACATTCCCCTGTGAGAGAGCTCCCATTTGATATTAGTAGGCTCCATAAGTTGCGACATCTTCTTGCCTATTTTCGTAACTATGAATCTGAATACTGGGTGGATTTAATAGTAGGAGTGAAGATACATGGAGAGATTGGGGGTTTAGAGGAGCTGCAAAATTTGTGGTATGTGGAGACAAATCATGGCCTAATTAAAGAGCTTGAGAAATTGAGGCAGCTAAGGAAGTTGGGAATTACGAAATTGGAAAGAGAACATGGAAGGGCTCTATGTGCAGCCATTGAGAAGATGAAATACCATCAACATTTGAGTGTATGGGCCTCAAGTGATGATGAGATTCTGGATTTACAGTATATTTCATCTTCATCTCCACCTCAATATCCTCAATGTCTCCACTTGACTGGACGTTTAGAGAAGTTACCCGACTGGATCCTGAAACTTCAAAATCTAGTCAGATTATCTCTAGCGGGTTCAGGTTTGACCAAGAATGATCAACTAAAAGGCCTTCAAGTCTTGCCTAGTTTAGTACGTCTTGGTCTTTGGGATGCATATGATTGGAAGCAGTTGTATTTTGAGGTTGGAGGGTTTCAAAAACATAAGCAACTATATCTCGAAGACTTGAAGGGATTGAACTCGGTGATTATAGAGGAAGGAGCATTGCCTCTTCTTGAAGAGCTAACAATTGGGCGTAGCCCACACCTAAAGGAGGTACCATCTGGCATCCACCACCTCCAAAAACTCAAAACTCTTCGTTTTTTTGGTATGCCAGAATAATTCATAGAAAAAATGCAACCCAAACCCCAACCTAACCAAAGCAAAGACTACTGGATCATCGAGCATATCCCTTGTGTATCAGTCTGGTCCCAGTCAGGAAAATTCACATATACCCGAATTGGAAATCTTCAAGAATATTTTGATAAGAAGGTGGCGAATCAAAGGGTCACTGAAGCTGAAAACGAATCTTACACTCCGTTTGGATTGAGCGGTTTGGTGAGAAAAGAAAAGTGTAACACCCTCATAGAAAATCTTTTTACTTGTTTGAATGGTTAAGTAGGTGAGAAATGATGAGAGATGATAAAAAAAATAATTCTCACCAAACTTATGTTTTGTTTCTCACCAAAAATTGTGAGATTTGGTGAGAAGCAGATTGAGTTTAATGATTTTTTTTCTAAAATACCAAAATTACCCTAATGAAAAAAAAATAGCTTATTAATATGGAAAGTTATTTTGGTAAAATAAAATACAACATTTTTTTTTTTCTCATATTTACTCTATCCAAACAAAATAGGTGAGAGATCATATTCTCTTCTCTTTTATTCATCCAAACATAATGATGTCTTTTTTTTTTTTCTTCCTCACCTCACCTCACGATCCAAATAGATTGTTGAATGCCAATTTAACTCCAAGTTTGTCCCCAACTGAATTGCAGTGTTTATTTATCATTTCATCAAATTTGATGGGAAAAAAATATCATCTCCAATACTCCATCTTTTTAAATTTCTATCAAATTTTAATTTGATGAATTCTCAATTTGATAGAAAAAAAATATTTCTCCCTTGATTTAATGAACATTTGGAGGGAAATTCTATCCACCGTGTTATGTATTTTTGTGATAAATATTATGAATTTATGTGATAAATATTACATAATTTTTTAGTAGAATTACATCAATTTGTGGTTTAGAAATGAACTTACACATTTTGTGATAATGTTACAATTTTTTGTAGTAATGTTACATTTTTTTATCCAAACATTTTCTAACAAAAAAAAAATGTGTAACATTACCACAAAAATGTGTAATGTTATCACAAAATATGTAAAATCATTTCTGAAACACAAATTGTCGTAACTGTACAAAAAAATTACTTAACATTTATCACAGAAATACATAACATATACTACAAAAATGTGTACCATAGCCTTACCTAACATTTTTGAACACTTTTTTTCAAATCTAAACTTGACAAAAATAAAAATTAAGGGTTGGAGTTACTCTAACATACCATTATTATCAAGGTTGCCACATCTCCGCCACCACTACTCCACTCACTCTCCCATCACCTACACCACCACTATTACAACTACTACAACAACTATAGAGGAATCAAGTTAATGTGTCACACAATGAAAGAGTGGGAGAGAGTGATGAAATGTCAATTGCGAGATATAACAGAGGTGTCAGATAAGCAATTTGGGTTTATACCTTGTAGGTCAACAATGGAAGCAAACTATCTTTTGAAGAGAGTAATAGAAAAGTATAGAGAAAAGAAAAGAGACATTTATATGGTTTTTATCGATCTTGAGAAAGCATATGTTGAGAAAGCATATGATAGAGTGGATCGGGATATAATTTGGTGGGTGTTAGAGAAGAAATAGGTGACAAAAGGTTACATTGATGTGATTGGGGATATGTATGAAGGTGTTGTGACCACTATTAGATTGCCTGCTAGAGAGTCGAGTGAATTTTCAATTACTGTAGGGTTACACCAAGGATTAACCTTAAATCCTTATCTTTTCGTTTTAGTTATGGATGAGTTGACGCGCAATATTTAGGATGATGTGTCATGGTGTATGTTTTTTGCAAATGATATCGTGTTAGTGGATGAGACTAGAGATTGAGTTAACGCTAAGTTGGAGATTTAGAGAAAAGCATTTGAATCTAAAGGATTTACGATAAGTAAAACTAAGACAGAGTATATGGAGTGTAATTTTAGTAATAGTCACAATGAAAGCAGAGGAGAAGTGAAGATTGAGGACCAAGAACTATTTAAGAGTGAACATTTTGGTTATTTAAGATTAATTATCTCAATGACTATGAAGATTGGAACGGATGTAGTCCATAGAATTAAGGCGGGGTGGCTTAAGTGGAGGAATGCGTCTGGAGTACTGTGTGATAAACGAGTACCCATTAGACTAAAAGGAAAGTTCTATAGAATGGCTATTAGACCAGTGATGTTGTATGAAACGGAATGTTGGGCAACTAAGAAACAACATGTAGATAAGATGAGTATTGCTGAGATGTGGATGCTAAGGTGGGTGTGTGGCAAGACTAGAAAAGACAGAGTTACGAATGAGTATATTCGAGGATGGGTAGTAGTAGTACCAATAGATGATAAGTTGACAGAGAATATATTGAGATGGTTGGTCATATACAACAGAGACCAATAGAGGCAGTAGTGAAGAGATACGATACAGTGACGGTAGATGGTAATGTTAGGAGAAGGAGTAGACCTAAATTGACGTGGGCTAGTGTAGTAAATAGAGATATGAATTTCTTTAATTTCACTAACGAAATAGCCTTGGATAGAGTTGAGTGGAGAAGAAGGATTCATACAGCCGACTCCATTTGATGGAAATTAAGGCTTGGTTTGGTTTGGTATGGTAATCAAATACAAAAAATATTTTTCTAATTCTTTTAGTACTTATATTGTTTTTTGATATATTGCAGCTCCTTACATTTAGTATGCATTTTGTAATTATTAGGTCTTTTGCTACAAATGCATACAATTGTAGAGAATTCCATTGCAGAGACATCCAGAATACAAGTACTCCAAGCTCATAATCATCTCATGATTAAGCAAACCCCTTTCTACTATCGTGATTTTTATTTTCTTTTGGATTGCAAAAAAAAAAAAAAAAAATGTCATCTCCGCCAACATGGATATGTTTATTATGGTTTTCTTTATTTTTAGGGTAATGTCAGGGATACTAAATTTTCTACCAAATAAATGACAAAATGTCTTACATGGCATGTGAGACATTTGGTCATTTATTTGGTAAAAAAATTGAGGCCTATAGCATTTTCCTTATTTTTAAGTAATGTTAAAAATAGTAATTAATGTACCAATTAATGCACTAATTAAAACACAAGACATATGTGAGTTCCATCACTTACTTTCGTTTGGGAAGTGGGTTGACTTTTTGACTATTTTAACCTAGGCTAAAAAAACCTCATTTGGGATGGGTTTTTGACTTTTGTGAAAAAAAATAAAATGATTATGGTTTGGATATGACATTTTGTCCTATTAACTTTTGGGTGATTTTACTTACACAACACTTTCAACTCATTACACCCTCATTTTTGATATTTTTTTTATTACTATTTTATCCTTTTATAAAATTACAGATTAACCCTCTAACCCTAAAAATTCAACAAACAACTTTCTCACGCCACTCAGCATTCCCCACCACTGCTATCTCACCTCCGGCAACCCTCTTCCACCACCGGCCGGCTATCTTCCAACTCCGACAGCCCTTTCCCAACGTCGACAACCCTCTTCCACCCCTCTCCTACCTTTTCCAACCCCTCAGAAACCCTTCCCTTACCTCTGAAAACCCTTCTCCTTCCCAGAACTGCCATCCAGGTCAGCCCTTCCTCTCTGTGAATTTTGTTTCCTCTTCTTCTCTTCCTCTTCCGCTGCTATCCAGATTTGAAACTTCTCTCTTTCGCTTAATCACTCACGATGATGAAGGGCATGGGTGAGTCCGCAGGGTGGTTCATGGCAGTGTAGATGGGTTGTGGCGGAGACGAATCGCCACCAGAGAGAAGGATCGCGACGAAGAAAGAGGATAAAAGGGGAGGCATGACGGAGGATGAAGAATGTAGAATGGGAGATGTAGCAGCAGAGGTGGGCTAAGAAGGTGGTCACAGTGGGAGAATGGGCTCGCGGTGGTCAAAGATGGCAGTTGTGAGGGGATCTAGATGGTGGCGGCGGTAGTAGAGGGAGTCGCTGGTGGGGGAGGAGCTGTGGGTCGGCTACCGGAGATAGCAGTGGCTGCCTGAGGAGGTGGTTAGGATTGGGTAGAATTAGGGTTTGAAAGTTGGGGGTGTAAATAAGAGGGTATAGTTGGTATTATGAGGATGGTAAGGAGATAAAATCAAAATTTTGAATTTTGATATGTTGTGTAATTAGAAATTTGGTGTAATGAGATGTTTTTGTTGTGTAACTAGAATTACCCATAACTTTTTAACCTATTATATGTTTTTGTGCCTAAAATAACCTCCAACTCACATGCCAAACATAGCCTTAATAGGTCTTACCTAATATTGTATCAAGTTAACCAATGTTTATAACATCACTCTCAAAGCTTCACTCCGACCATTCTACTCCAAATCAAAACCTACTCAAAGCTTCAATTTCAGTAACTCTCTCTCTCTCTCTCTCTCTCTCTCTCTCAATGTATATATATGATGACGTGTATATATGCATGCAATTTGTTTTTGAAGATCAAGACATTTCAGTGATTCAAATCCTAGAATTCAGCCAATTCAAGCTGTTTGACCTAAATTTGGTTTAAATTTTTAAAAATTTTGATAACCTTCTTATTTATTTTTATTTTTTTGTCAATTCAGGGCTTTGGGCATGGGAAATTAACTGTGCTTTTCTTCAGGTAGTGCCATATTGCTTTGTTCTTGGTCTTTATTAGTTTTAGATCTAGTTTGGCTGCTAAGAAAATGTTAGTTTTGAATCATACACTTGTAATTATAAAACACCCCTGAGATTATTTGTAAGTAGAAGCAAAGCAACAAAGAGAAAGGTACTAGCAAACAATTTTACTATCAGTGAGCCTTACACAACCTTTGTGCTTAATTTGGTTGATATTTAATTTTTTGGGAGCAAGTAAATCAATAAATTAATGGAGAATTTTTTTTTAAGGTCTCCGCTATTAAGATTTTATTGGATAAAAGACGTATAATATTTTCATATTGATTGGGATTCCTCAACATTAAATTTTGATACAATCAAGAGAAATTTCAAAACACAGACAAAGTTCTCTATGTTTTGAAATTTCTGTGGTTTAAAATTTATCTGGTTTGCTCAATTTCTCTAATTTTCTGTGTGTTTTGAAATTTTCTTTTATGGTTTGAAATTTCTTTGGTTGAAATTTCTCTGTGTTTTGACAAATTTTCTCTGATTTACTCATAATTTTCTTTGTATTTTGACCGAACCAGAGAAAATTGAACTATAAAATTGAATCAAGAAGATTAGAGTTTAGAATTTACCCTAAATACAAAGTTATGTACAATTGCATAGATTAATATACAGAGTACGATTTGAATTGAGAACCTGGAGAGGGAGAATCGTGAAAGTGGTGGGGAAGTGGGTCTGGTTGGTAGAGAGAACCTCGAAGAAGAAGAAGAGGCAGATCTATCGATGGAAGCAGAAGCTGTTTGAAGATTAGATTTAATGGCGGACTTGAGATATGATATTAATGTTTTGTTGATGAATCTGTTGCGTCTGGAAGCCATCACAAGAACTTCAAAGAAGCTTCCCAAGTTTCTGAGGACAAAAATGAGCGGTCATGCTCTCTCGCAGCTTTCGCTCAAAAGCCAATGTTGTGAGCGACCTTAGCCAATATAAATTAAATATTCCTAAATTAAAATGCTTCTAATTTTTATTTTTATTTTTCAGTATTTTCATGATGGATTAAATGAAATTTTTTTATTTCATTATTCTTTATTTTTTTGGTTGTGCGTTTTGGGACAAATTATTTTGGACAATTGGTTAAAAGCTAGTTTTTGTGACTTTTTTTGGTTTTTTTTTGTAAAAAATGTGTAAAAAATTAAAAAGATGATATAATCTAAAATAGATTAAAATTCAAAAAATAACTTTTTACTATCTTCTTAAAAGAGGCCAAAATTCAACACTACTGAAACGATACCAAATTTGATTAAAGGATTTGGGGGGAAATGCATTGCAATGACACTCGCTAACAATTTCTTTATGTTGATTGAATATGTTCAATAAAAGAAATTAAACTACGATAAGCACTAGTTTTGGTGACCTAATTTTAATTGATTTACATAAATATATGAACTTCAGATTTGTTATATGAATTTGATTACTTATTCTTTCTCTCTCTCTTTTTTTTTTTTTTTTTTTTTTTTTGAACAACAATTTAAACACTATTATTCAACTTAATTAGTTTACACCGTCTCTAGATCAGGAATTTGAAAAAAAAAAAAAAAAAAAAAACATTTGGTATCGATCTTGATCCAGGCCTCAATATCGATTTTCTTTTTAAGACAAAAATGGAGAATTTTCCAATCAAAATATTTTCGATCCGGATTTTTTTCCATATACATAATATCACTTTTTCCTAAATAATTTTTGATAGGGATATCCCCTAGTATATCAAAAAATTTGCCCTTATGTTTATGTGTGTTGTAATTATAAAAACTCTCTCGATTCTTATTTACTTGGAATGGTGATCCATAAATATATGGGTCCCTCTTATTTTCATAATTAATAGATCTATAAGATAAAAGATTATATCTATAGTATTTTTGAAAATTCTCATTTTGATTTGGTAATGAATATACTTCGTAATCGTTTTGTTTTTTGTAATGAATTAATAGGTCTTTTTCATATGAATTCTCTTTGTTTAAATCTTGATTTTGAATTGTACGACATTTATTGATTCTATTTTTCCATTTTGCTGCTATTAATCTAGACCATCTAATCTGAGATAAATGGTATTGATAATGACCTCTTAACCAGTTTTTCCATTGATTTATTCCAGAATTCCGAAGTTTCTTATGTCTTAATTCATAATGAATTATTCCTTGTTTTCCAAAATAATCTTTTATTGAAGTCTTAAGAAAAAAAGACGTTCCGTGATATTGAAGAATAGATCTTAACTTATACAAGTTAAGAACTTGTGTTTGTGATATTTTGTAAAATACATATGCTTGTGACAAGGAGGATAAGTCAAAAAAATTCTGTGAATTCTTATTACTAATATTATAAAGTGACTTTTTTATAGTCGAAATAAAATTTATTTTATTTTGATTTGTTTTATTAATTCTTTTTTTATTTTTTTTATTATTGTAAATGGATTTATCAATCATTTTTTTTGTTGATTCAACAAAAAGTTGTATATTAATTCTGGGAATATTAATAATAGATAGAAGGATATCTGCGTATATCCTTTCAGTGAAAAATTTTATAAAATAATGTAATTTACGGATTAATCGAGTATTTCTTCTTTTTAATATTTGCCAATTTGGTGATTCGAATCTTTTACCATTATAACTTGTTTTAGTAATTTTCATTTCAGAATTAGCTTGCTCACAAATTAGATAACAAAAAAAGTAGTGGATAAGTTTTCTTTAGGTGTTGTAGTTTGCCATGAAGTAGTGGATAATTTTTTTTTTTTATCAAAAAAAATGTACAGAGGTAGATGAACAACAGAATTAAACAATTAATAATCTGATTGAAGAAGTGATATTTGGAATCATCTCTTGGAAGCAAGAAGAGAATAATCATGGAAACTGGCAACTTTGCCTAGCTTGGAACATATATATCTCATAAAAGTATGAAGAACTTGTTATTTTCATTAAGGGGTGCGATGACATGTTTAAATAGTTTAAGTAACACATTCCTGTTGAATAAAAAAAATATGTAAAATAGGATTTTTTGTTCAATGTAGTCCTTTTGTTTTCTATTTGAGGTAATCTTATATTTTGCATTTATTGTTTTGGAGTCAATCTAGTAAACATAAAATAAATAAATAAAATAAGGTTTAGTTTAAATAATTTGTGACCCTATCCAGTTGACTAAAAAAATATGTAAAATAGGATTTTTTGTTCAATGTAGTCCTTTTGTTTTCTATTTGAGGTAATCTTATATTTTGCATTTATTGTTTTGGAGTCAATCTAGTAAACATAAAATAAATAAATAAAATAAGGTTTAGTTTAAATAATTTGTGACCCTATCCAGTTGACTAAAAAAATATGTAAAATAGGATTTTGCGTTCAATATAGTCTTTTTGTTTCTATTTGAGATACTAAAATTTTCATTTACTGTTTTGAAGTCAATCTAGTAACATAAAATAAATAAAAAACAAGGTTTTGATTTAAATAATTTAAGTCACCCTATTCAGTTGAATAAAAACAAAGTCACCCTATTCAATTGAATAAAAACTATGTAAAATAGGATTTAGGGGTCAATATAGTCTTTGTTTTCTATTTGAGATAGTCTAAAATTTTTATTTACTATTTTGGAGTCAATCTAATAAATAAACATTAAAAAAAGGTATAGTATTTTTAAATTGGAGAAATGGGTTTGAGTTTAAATAAAACCATTCATTTGACTCCAAAAATGGAGTCCTCTAAAAAACAAGGGAAAAAAAACTTTTCAATCTTTTAATTGATAATTGATGTTGACAAATTGAAGTTCAACATTTTCTAATAAATCATCTCAACAAAAGCCTTCTTTCGACTTACTTTTGATTCAATTTATTTCCAACATTAAGAGCATTTTATTTTTTTCCACTACGATGCTATTATTGTCTGTAACATTCACTGCATTCATGTTACAACTTCGTAATCATTACTGGCACCTCCAATCGTGCAATATATGAAATGTATCTAGTTGTGACAGAGTCTCTTAACTATGTATTTTTTCTTCCCAGATAAAAGGAATACATAATTTCAGTTGAAGTCATTAACCTAATTTGAAGACGGATTTGATTCAGGCATATTGTTCTTAAAGATGAAGAAGATGATAGCTCTAGGGGTTTGGGGTCAGCCAATAAGATTGGTGTTGGGGTTGTGACCCTTGATGGCTCAATTTTGTCAAACCCAAGACACACCTATGTTACCCCACGAGGGCAGGGATTCCTTCCCCGAGAAACTGACCAACACCATTGTTGCGGTAAATCATTGTGTTGCTCATATTGAGATGGGAAGGGTTGTCACTGGTCCAGATGACCCTGTTGTGCTATATGTAAGTGGTGGGAACACATAGGTGATTGCATATAGCGAGGGGCGGTATCAGATTTTTGGTGAGACTATGGATATTGCTGTTGGGAATTGCTTGGACCGGTTTGCGACGGTTCTAACTCTGTCTAATGATGCAAACCCCGGGTACAACATTGAGCAGGTATACAATTGGAAGCAAGTTTCCTTAACCTATATCAGCTTTCGAACAAAATTGGTGTGTGAATTGAGAGAAGGTGGTATATGGAAATAGAAGCTCCGGCCCTGAACTAGGTTCTAGTGACGACAGGACTAGGTGTTGTGTGGAGACATTTTGTTGATATGGTTTCTTAGTTCTTCAAATCAAGGGGCACTCTTCATTTCAAAAAATCCTATTATGTTATGTGACCTTGTGGGAAGGCATTTGGATTCCCAATGGGTTTCGGAATAAAAGGAAATTCATTGGCATGTGACTTTGGATATTTTTGGTCACATAATGCATATTAGTGGTTGAGTGGGCTAGGCTCAAGAGTTTGGCGTGTGTGAGCCTTACCGGGAGTCCTATTCTCTTGACCCTATATACCGAAAAATTTGGCTTGTTTTAGATTAAAAAGTGGTCTAGGGTAATTAATTACTGATTTGTTTAAGAATATGGGTGCAAAAATTTGTTATTCTAGTCTTGATTTTCAATTTGTTTGGTTTTTTGTCATTTATATTCATTTATTTATTTACATAATTATTTTGGCTAAGAAGATTTATTCTATTCTCAGGGCATGCAAATATAGGGTGGTTATTGGCAGGCTACAAGGAGGAGGTGTTTTGCCAAGTAGCAAAGATTGATAAAGATCTGTCGTGAGCTCTCACTTTGAAGAATTGGTGAAATAGTAAATGCGCGTTTCCAAGGAGTTGGATAGCTTTTCCTTTAAAGACATTACTGGAGAAAAAATTTAGTGTAACATTGATTGGAGAACAACTTCACCATTAGTACCAATTATATGTGTATATTTATAATCTTGAGTAGCTAAAACATATATGTTAAATAGTGGTCAAAGATCAAGTTCTTGGAATGAAATATGCTGATTTACCGGGTCTCGTTAGATCAGCATATTTATTTGAAAGTGACTCAAATGAATGTAGAGTCTTGGATTGGTATGATTTTCAACTAATTATTGGTTTGGTAAGACTTTGAATTAAAAGTAATGATCAGTCTCTGTCAATTTACTTACTGATATAGATTAAGGAAACTCACTGCCAATTGCATACCTATTCAATGTTGTATCCATGGCTTGGATCATAGCAATTCTCGACAGCAATATCTATAGTCTCACAAAAAATCCAATAACGCCTCTCACTGGCCAAAGATCAAGTTCTTGACATGAAATATGCTGATCTAGTGGAACTTGCTGGATCAGCATATTTTTTTAAAGATGACTTAAAAAACTTATGAATCTTGATACCTTTGATGTTGAATATTCATATTAAATTTAGGACATTGTAAATATCAAGATTTTCAATGTTTTAATTTATCAAGGTATTATGTTCTCACTTATAAGCAAAATTCATGTTATTTTTTTTAAATTCTTAAT